GTTCGTACAGTTTGATGGTGGGAAGGTTCAAAGTTCTTGACTCGTTTCACAAGTGATCCAACCGTTACGACAGTCGAACACTCTTGTTGTAGTATCCTTGGCTTATGGTGGTCCTTGTGCTTGCTGGAACGTGAACCAGGAATAGGAACTGAACGCGACTTGCGGGTTTGTCTGAAGGATTATAGAATAAAGGAGACGTTCATTACCTTCAGCATATCGTTTCGATATGCCAACGAGTGAGTGTTTTGAGTCATACTCTATATCACAGCCATGATGCGGTGCCGGTTGATGTTCTGAGATTGGACCAGTTAAATCTTTATCGATACGCTAATGAACGTAATATCAGCCAGGGTCTCAGCTGCGACCTGCTCATCCCGATGGTCTGCCTTGCCATGGAATGTCCTTGGCAGTCATTCTAGCAATATAACACCAATTCCTGTCCCTACTTCTCGGGGTCCAGATGTTTGCTTTGCTCCTAGATAGAATATGGAGAAGAGAATCAGAGATTGTACGAAACTCAATATGAAACAGTATTATGTAATGCGTATATCATTATCCACAGGCACGTTGGGCAGTATAGTGGCTGAGGCATTCGCTTGTCGCTTCGAAGACCCGGGTTCTATTCCCCAAGCGCATACAATAGAAGCCCATTTTCCCCGTCCCCTGTCTTGATGTTGCTGAATACGTGGCTTATGGTCATGTTCAGTATAAGTCATTGCCGGTCATACATGCATACACGGTCTTTTCGTAGAAAAAAAGCTGTAACATGTCTGAAGGGCCGTAGAGCAATATTCATTCATTAATGGCATTGATTCTTATATTAGATAATGTATTTTATGTATATGTGGATGAATTTATTACCTTTCAAATATATTTGTCAATTTTCATGGTTGCAATTGTGGTTTCAGAACGTGATATTTCAAAAATGCTTTTGACGCCAGTCAATTACATAAACAATACTGGACATTTTAAGAGTAATTTGGTATCAAATTGAGAAGCCTGGAAAGACAAGAATATATGTTTAAGGTTTTCTCTGTCTAGGCATAAGGCTGAATACTTTCCCAAGTCACGGTGTGCCATCCGTTCCTACCGCATCATCATCGTAACAGGCTGCCTCTCCCACGCAAAGGAAATGTTTATCGTATTTGCTGTATCATCTATCGGTTCCCGCCTTCAGCAGCTACAACTACACCAACACCACTACAACGTCGAGCACAACGCCGCCTTGTCGCCCATCAGCAAAGGACAACAAGCTGAACATAATTTTCTGCATCGGTGGCAAACCTGCCTTGGTAGGTCATAGGCCTCAACCCTTGATCTCATTAGAAACTGGACACTTTACCCACAGACCTATAAACAGGATCTTAGTATCTCGTTACTTCAATATGCTCTGACTATTCTTAGCCTACCAGACAGCAACACAGAAGAGGCCATCCCACCTTCCATGCTAGTATTACTGCCATTAGGTGAAAGTTTTGTTCCAAACAGCTTACCGCGTGTTCAACGAAAAAGAAAAGGCTATTCATTGTAATGCGTTTTGTGCATTTTCGAGTGCACGTCCTTCCTATGGAAATGCCTTAATAGTTTACTTTCTTGACTTCTCTTATGGAGTGGGGGTTAATCGGGGATATGTGTTTACCTTAGTTGGGTCTCCTCTGAAGATTTGATGTGCTGTTTACAGATGCAACGGTCGTTTGGGCTACCGTCGACTGTGTTTATATGACAAAGTGTTAATCGTTTCCTTTACCACTGTTTGAGTAGTGATATTATACTTATTGTGCCCTCCAGTTGCCAGGATCGGCGAGGAAACAAGGGAATTGTGAATTGTGAATTGGTGCAGCGAATAGTTCTCCTACTGTGAATTGTCAAAGTTTATATTGAATATAACGAAACGTACATATTCACTAAAGTGAATATTCACCAAAATCATGAACCCGTGTGTGAACGTGTAAACATACATGGTCGATATAATTATCACACCCTGTAACTTGTTCATGATGGTAGACCTCAGAATGTTTCATGAACTTCTTTATCGAGATATAACATAAAATGTACATTCAATTGAAAGATAACTGTGACGGTACACACGTATTATGTCAGCTACTTCATCTCGATGCTGATTGGTTGATGCATGACTGGATTGCAGTTGTTATGGATTTGACGGGTTGCAATAGACACTTTGAAATTGTTATTATGTAACCATGTTTCAGTTTAGACATCCACGCGGAAGCAAGGAAATGTAAACCTATAGAAGACCCGACTCCGACAAAGAAGGAATGATATACACAAATGCATTGTGAACTGGTTCGATATGACACGTTTCCAAACACAAACATAAATGAAACACGTCCATGTGACTTACGAAGTTAGGTTTATCACCGTCAGGACAATTAAATTATACCTTTTAATTAGCAAGAATAACGGTGGATTAAAACATAAGAAATAAACAGCCCATGATTTAACGTACTACGTTTAGATTATAACATGGCATGGTACGTGGCCCGTGAGGTGTACATGTCGCTTTTTTAAGTTGTCTTTTCCTATATCAACTTCATATTGTTCAGTGCAGTATCAAATGTGTGCAAACATTCTAATCTTATTGTAATAACGCCAAAGAATAAAACAGAGATCGCTGTTATCTTTGGAACAATGTGACCTATACTTGACCCTTCTCCTTTGTTTCACTTTAAAACACGATGACAATATACGAGTATTTAAGTGAAACATATATGCATTTCCATTGTCGACTTCAAAAGCAGAAAATAACGTTGTGTTGTACCAGGACGCATTAGTGACAAAAGATATGTCCGATACAATTCCCCATTTTGACTTGTAACATAATGTGTTTTTTCGGGCGGACAGTTGATTAGGCTTTACATGTGTTTGTGATGACTGCCCCCGCTGGGGCATGTGATAGTGATTCATAAACACATGATGATGATATGTAGCTGCTTTTTGCAGAGATGTTCTATGATTATGGAAAGGATTTTATAGCTTCTATAAATTTTAGCAAAATCTGGTAAAATATAGGTCAACATGCATCTTCACATGTACGATTTTTGAATATCATTATACTGATAATTGAAACTTATCCAACACCTTCAATCTTGTAATGTTACAACTGTTGAAACAACAATGTATGTATGTATGTATGTATGTATGTATGTATGTATGTATGTATGTATGTCGAACTTAAAACCTCTGCATTGTCCCCTTTACAATGTTCATCTTCTACAGTTGGGTCTAGAGTAATGTAATACCCCATCGTTCATGTTTATGTAAATGCACTTCCCCCAAGCACACTTATTGCCACCTACAAATGGAATGTGGTCAGGAGATCGTGCCCCTGCTGCGAAACAAGAAGTCTTACTAATGAAACGCGATTTGACCACTAATCGTTATGCACGGGAAGCGATTGTGACGGATAGCCAGTCTGCAACACCGTGAACATGTGGTTAAGGTTGAGGAGAAAGACGAACCCGTTTCTCCAGACCTTACAGTATGTCTGTCACGCGCTCCCATGCTCTCACCTACGTTCACAAACTCCTTCCTCCCACACTCGCTGTTTCTTCTCGTGTAGAAAATGTAAGCCTCAATACCACGCCTTTCCAATGGCCTGCACTACATTGCTGCTTGAACAAGAATGTTGCATGATTTCACTTCATCGACGTCTGTATCTAGCTTTAACAAACGCCATTTCAACCTGCTTCCACTGCAACCGCTTCGAACCCTGGAAGGTGATACAGTGAAACACCGTTGTGTCGAAGTTGATGGGACCCACGTAAATACTTCGAGTTATCCGAAGTTCGACACAACCGAAAATGATGAATAAAGAAGAAATACGCAGGGACGATGCTTTTACTTCGATACAACCGTAAGTTCGACACAACGGTGTTTGACTGGTATATCGTTATTGCCTTTTTTAATTCATCAGTCATACCGATTCTATTTGTGTCATTCCATTACGTTCTATACCACATCCCGTTGTGCATACGCAAGTTATATTACCAGTTATCAATCTATTCAAAACTTATTTGCAAAATTATATGCAGGTATATGAGGGTAACTACGACACAAGAAAACATATTAATTTCCCCTTCACGTTCTTTCTGCTATTCAAAACACTCAGCTTAATAATTTATTCACAGAAAGATGCCCCGGTAGTTATATTTCATGGAAGAGATCCTCTACATGTGCATCCCACATTGGGCATTATCATCCAGAACATGGTGTCTTGTGACGTCATAGGGGTTTATTTGATACTCAGTAAAACGGCTACTGCAACATTCTCCATATGTTTACACCATTGTTATGGTGTGACTGCGTGGATATGGAATGGTGCGTAACACGTTTAATGTGTACGAGTTATCTTGTGTGTGCAATAGTACTGTCTGGTAATAGTATCATTGATAGTTTGGTGAGCACAGGTATTAGATACTCGTTATTTGCAACGTAGTTTCAGACTGATCTATATTGTATATGAGAGAAAATACCCTGTTACAATAATATTTCCAATATTGTTGCAAAAGTTGAAGCATAATATTAAGTTTTCTTTGTGCCATCTATCTGTATTGCTAGATTACAGGGTTAATAAATTGTAGTTGTAAGGAGACAAATTTACAGGTTGGTTTGATGACCATAGGGATGCATTCGAATGAAGTGTTACAAAGCCTATTGGGAAACTGATATTTGGTTTAAATGTTAAACGGTGAAAGGGTTTGATAATGTTTGACAAATTAGTTTTTTGTCACAGTAAAGGAATCATGTTTAACTTTATAATGGGGTCCCTGTTCAGCAAACTGTATTTGTTTCTCTAAAATCATGCTACCTAGGTACTTCTAAATGAAGAAGTAAAGCGTCTGCAAAACATCTGCATTATATAAAAGTTTATACCGTCGTTAATGTTCGGGAAAAAAGTTTTTCAAATTGTGCATTGATTCTATGTGATTATAATCTGTTGTTATGACATAGCGCATATGATGAACAAATAATGAACTCACCAATTGTTGTCATCACTGTGATTGCGTAGAGTAAGGAACTAGCAAATGACCATTGCATTTCTGGGATGTCTGCGTCGCTCTTGTCCTTTCCGTCCCACCCATGATCTTTTGTTTCTTTAAACACTGTCTTTTGAAAATCCTTTAATTGTTGATCCACAAGTGCAGTAAAATTTTCATGTCCAATCTCAGACAAGCTAAGTTCTGTTGCATGCTGCAACATTTTGTCAACCATCTTAATCCTTGTCTCTCTGATTTTTGTTTTAACCTTATTCTCGAAAGGTCCTTCAATTGCCTTAAATATAAAGCCCCCCATGATAGTATAGGCAACAACAAGAGAACACAATCCGATATGTGAGAAGAGGAAAGCAGTAGCTTTCTTACAACATTGTAGACACTTTCTTCTTTTTTCCCTCATTGTACTTTCTCTTCTACTACTTAGCCTCTTTGTTCTGCTTCTTGCAAGGGGAGGCAGAGGTTCCTCTCCTTGAATGGGCTCATCAGATGCTACAGGTTCGAACCTGATTTGTTTCCTGGGAAGATCAAGTGAAACATCAGGCTCAATAATTTCATCATCAAGTATGTCAGTCTCTTTAATGTCCGCAAGTTTGCTGAGATTTATCTCATTCTCAATAAGAAACATATCCTTAACAGGATCCTGATCAGAAATATTTTTCTTCTCTTCAAGTACTTTCTTGTTCCTTCTACTGGCGATTCGCTGTTTCAGGAAAACTAGTGTGGTAAAGGATAACTTCTTTGGTTTGGGCTTTGAATCATTTTCAGGTGTATTCTTCTCATTCTCTGTAAATTCAGGAGAGGTTTCGTGTTCGGGAGAATTTTTATTAGAATCTTGCTTTTCACTTTCATTGTTGTCCCCTTCCCTTTCATTATCAACTGTCTTGTTATTTCCTGGTTCTTCGGCCTTGCCCAGTTTCTTTTCTTCCTCTTTGTTAGCATCGTGTACAAGTGATGCTACGTCTTTCAATTTTTTCTTCTCCTTTTCTTTCTCCTTTCTCTCTTTCTTGTTATTCTTTTTACTTTTTCCAAAGAGTTTAGATTTCTCAGACAGGTCGATTTCGGATGTTTGTGTACACTTGTCATACATCAGTCGAACAGGGGACATTTCTTCTCCCTTAACAACTTCTGCCTCTGACTCCTGGGTCGTTTTGGCCTCAATAACCTCTTCATGGACTTCCCTCTTCCTTCTAAATGATCTCCCGGTTTTTCGGCGCCTTTTTTGAGATTCTCTGCCCCTGTTTTCGAGGGCTTTGTTCATTTCAGTATTGTCAGTATTATTCTCAATGTCATCAGCTCTCTCGGGCGATTTTGTAGCCTCTCGCTTTGTATTCTGTAGTTCTTCTTCCTCCTTTTTGTTTTCTTTTTGAGAATCGCTAAGCTGAGTATGATCTTTTTTCTCTGGCTGTTTACACGTGTCACCGTCAATGCCTTCGTCGGTTGTTGTTTTGTCTTGATCGGGTACTGGCACAGACTCTTGTCTTTTAGGAGAAAATGTTCTTTTGTACTTCTTCTGAACACTGGTCCCCATTACAGGAACTCCATTTCTATCCCCATTCGCGTACCCGTACTCATGCCTGGCTGTCTCCTGTGATGGTTCGCTAACAGCTGAATGACTGCGATGACACTTCTGGGTCAATTTTGCAGTTTTGTCAAGAACAGTCTTACCCTCCCCATCACTTAGTGATCTATCAATCTGATGAGGCACGCCTAATGTAATTTTAATATTTTTGGTTTTATTTTCGTTGTCATTAGGCATTTCTACAACAGGACTGAGCTCAATTGATGTCTCTTCAGGCTTCCGATTTGGAGATAATGATTTCCGAGATTCGTGTCCTGTTTCTTTAGCCATGCTGACAATTTTAGGTCTCGGCGAAGGACTTCTTGCTTTACCCAGAAGTCGCCCAGGAGATAAATCCCGCCCCCCACTCATCGACATTGAGGAATGGGGGTTTGGTGAACGACTGAGTTCAAGGAAGAGTGACAACGACTTTTTCCTTCGTTTCTTCTGGACATCCATGATAGCGTTTTGCCATCGGGAGATGGCCTTAGAAGGGGGCACACTAGACACTGCAACAGTGGGAGTCTTTTTCGTATTTCTATTGTATATACCTTCCATAAGCGTGACAAGTCTCTCACTTTCACTAACACTAAATTCAGTGCCGTTCTTCGCGTCATTTTGATTACTAGAGATATCTCCGGCATCTTTGGCTTGTATATTGGATGTTGCCTTCTTAACATTATCTTGTTGGACCTCCATATGAGGCTTCACGTCAACAGTGTTTTCTTGTCCTGTCGACTTGTCCCTTTCTAACAAATTAGCTATATCATGTACCATCACCTCAATTTGTGTCTGTGGTGATTCTCTCTCTGCTTGTCCATTCTTTTCACTTATATTCTGATCATCATCCTGTGATCTGGCCGATATTTGAGGCGCATTATCACTGATAATATTATCATCACTGTCAGCTTCTATGCTCACACGTCCAGATTTCAAACCTTTTTGTTTTTTGCCAAACCTGTTTTTCTTTTCTCTCGGCAAGGTAACACTTCCCCTAACCAAGGCACTAGCACCGTCAACAACATCTTTACTTTCATCAGGCTTGTGTTCATTAGTTTTATCTCCATGTGAATCTACAGAAGTAATGTCAGGCAGAGATGCTGTTCTTGTTCTTTCCTCAGCCACCACCTCAGTTTCAACCTGTTTGTTCAGATTGGACAACACATAACCAGATGCCACTAACCTCCGTCTCCTCTCCTTCTCAGCATCTCGCACTGTCATCCTCCGCAATCTGTCCCTAGGTTGTTTGGTAATGTCATACACTTCATATGTACTGCCCCTATTGTCATAGTTTCTGGACCCTCGTTTAATGTCCTCGGCACTCTCATGTCTCTTTGTCCCGGTATTCTGGTCAACATTTGACAGCTCCGTCTCTGACTTACTCCTCCGTCCACGACTCTCAGATCTGCTTTTTCTTTTAAACCACCCTGACAATCGCTTCCTTGACCCGCTTAAAGAACGTGTCTTCTGTTCACGCGAGTTTATGGAATGCTGGCGAGCTAAAGTACCCGCCGAAGTTTCTTTCATGTCGTCTGCCTCTACGGGTTCAGCAGCCCCGTCAGAGGTAACTTTGGAATGTGAGCGTTTTTTCCTACTTCGATTTTTACTCTTTTTCCGAGAGAGTCTTTTCCCTTTCTTTTCAGCAGAATCTTCTGTGCCTCTAACCATCTCTCCATCCACTTGTTCACTCTCACCTGTTACGTTTGAATCCATTATGCCATAAATTCCACAGTCTCACCTATTGGAAAGTATTCATGCACAGATTATACAAGAATTTTTCTCTCTCTTTCTCACCTTTCTATTGGGTACAAACTCTCCTTTAATGCTCGGCGTATCCATGATATGAATCGTAATTAGGTTTACACAAGCCTCTCTGTGGGAAGAAGGTGGCAATTTTAAGGCATTCCATCCTACCCCAGCGCATTCGTCTGTACACTGACAACTTTTCCTAATCTCACGGCAGCGTAGTCAGCCGCTGCCAATACACTAAACCAATCAACCACCAAAAATAGCACGTACCTGATTGATCATCATCATAATAACATAGATTTCACACGTGCAAATCGCAAATCCTTCCACAATGTTCGTCACTAAATAATATCCATCAATGAAAAAAAGTACAATGAATATTCCTACAGCAAAATATCCTTCAGAGTGGAAGACACGGCAGCAATGCGCGCCCGCCGCCTACCCACATGCATCTAGCTGGGAGTGTAACGTACACCTCCGACTTGACTAAGCAGCCTCTGTGGAAAGTGTACGGATATGAAGCTCCAGAGATTGGGAGGTACTCGCTATCCAAGTGTTGGGCTACAGTGCTGGAATGAAAGGCCAGGCTCGGCACTACGCAAGTCCCTCTACGCACACACGTGAAGAGTATTCCTTGCTCTGCTGATAACATCACCTCTCCACAGTTTAGAAATTACCAAGCACATTTATTTCTTTATTTGCGTTTTTACAAAGTTGATTTGATGTTGTTGAGTGATTTGGAATGGGTTAACATTAAACGCAGAGAAATGGCATTAGTTGAAATGTAAATTGAGTATGAAACTAGATGCCTCCGGTCTGTTAAACAACACTTTCATGTTGTACACGTTCCGTTACCAACCTATTCTTCAAATATCATCTGTTACAATATGCAAAAAGTAATCATCTATCGTGTGTGTTTAACATTTCCCTTTAAGAACATTCTAACCATTTCTTTATATAATTATTTCCGGGAGTTTAACGATGCCAGCAGACACATGTAGAAAACGTTCTTTTCATACCTGTTGTTGAGAAGGGATGGGCATGAAGTGGTATATACAAATTAGCATACCATAGTTACTTTGCTGATGTTCATATATATCTTTGATTATAATCATATTCCCCTTTCTTAAAATCACAATTAACACAAATGTGGATGAATTTAGTGAAATGACTTTTGTTATTGTATTTGCTGCTTGAAATGACACATAAGTTATACCTCCGTCCTCAACGTTTTATTTACTGTGAAAGACACATAATATATCTGATCACTATAGAGGACCAAATTCATCGTCCCAAATGTCCAACTTAATGTAACTTAAGTCTTAGGTAAAAAAAATAAAAAAATGAGCTCTCCTTCTCTCATGAATTGAGACAAATTAATCATGTGATTAGAGTTTCTTAATCCCGATAAACCTTTTACACATTAAACATCCACCACCAGTAATATTAAGTGTTGTTTAAATATAATATGTATGCATTCAGTATCAATTTCTAAATAGAAAGTGTTCAGGGAGCCAGCTACATGTACCTATCCATGCTGGAAGAGCTATCAAGAACAATACACGTTACATCATCAACGCAACCTTTGCATCACCCGTTTCAGATGATAATGATTCTTGCAAATATGAACACATCATTTAACGTGATACGTTCCGAGCAATATCCTCTCTCCCACCTACATCAGTTGTTTCCCAGTTGTTGCAGTTGTCCATGTTCAAAAGACTCTCTACTTCATATAATGTGATTATTCTTCCACACTGGTAGAAGTCTATTATCTAACCAAAATCGTTCCACAGTATGAGAATAACGATTTCACACTTGCAAATTATATTATCCTTATATTTTTAAAATTGTCAAACACTCAGTGTTTTTAGCTTATTATTGGAATTAGTTTTAACGAATACACTCAGAAACTGGTTCAGCCATGCCACAGCGCAGCAGGCTGTGCAACACTTTACCTGTCAATGCCTTCAAAGAGGCAGCACTAGACGCACGCGAGATCATATGCTCACCACAACTACTTATCACAAACCGAAGCAAGCACAGCAGAAAACAATAAGTCTGTGCAAACTGCAATTACCGTTGCGACGGCACGGGGAGAGCACTAATTGGTTCGACGTCCCAATAACAGCTGTAGAAAACGATGGCATTTGACACCCGGGTTTTCATTATACAGGTATTTTTTAGAGTGCTGTGGTTGGTGTACCTAGTCTATGAAATTGATACTGGTTCGGAGAGTTTGACTGCAGAAATGGAACCGTGCTGAGAAGGCCATATGACAAGAATCGACTAGGTACATCGGCCTTCACTTAGACAAGTGTTGTATACCCTTGCACGCACGTTTCACAATATGGTTTGGTGTAGGCAATAAAATATAAATCTCATGACATAAGTAACAAGCTGTGTTATTAGTAAACATGTCAAATGCGTTCTATTTACGAGAGCTGCTACATTCAACGTAACGATTGTTTAGATCTGCTAATCGCTGGTGTATGCGCATTGCAGTGTTGAACCCAGTCAAATTTGGAAATTCTAGTTTATGTGTCTGGAGTAAACATAAAGACGCTTCATTTCCTTAATGAGAAATGTTGCATTTATGATATACACGAGACGTTAAAAACATTCTGACGGTTCCACTTTTGTGGGAATACACTCGAATCCAGTCGTTGTCTGCGCATATAGATCATAGCATTCGATAGCATACCTGATTAATGTCGCGTTTAAAATACACGGAAAGTTACCTTACGTAATCAGTTATTTGTATCAAATAGAATATACCTTTGCTGCACCGATATCGTTTCGCGATGATGCACTGGAGAACGTTTGCGTTGATATGGTTAGAAGAGTATGCAGGTTTAACTCTGACAGTTAAAAGTTTTTCTTCAACAGTTACTTCGCGACTTGGTATAACGACCACAGTAATGAAAGCCCAAGCGAGATGCGGGGGCCTTAGTGATCGACCACCAACCCCGGAATAATATATGATTTTTCCCGTATACCATTCTGATTATTTCGAAAAACTAAATTGTCCCCGATTATACTTGAAAAAAATAATTCAAGCAGTTTAAAATAAAAGAAATTGCCTGTCACATTAAAACAACAACATTGCTGCACGGTATCTTTCTTTTAAAAAAATCAGGTTCATAGTTTTATGCATACAAATATCTAGTTTTGTTGCTGTAGCTGAAAAAATATCTAATCTAGATACAAAATCCCCCAACCCCCTCCCCCAGAATATCAAAAGTCAGCCCCTTAGTCTCTCAAGACACTTATCTAGATCTCTAAGACAATTATTTAGATCTCTATGACAATCTACATGTTGATCTCAGGGACACAATCTAGATCTCTAATACGTGTATACTTCGATACATAGCCCAAACATTGCTGAAAGTCTTCATACTGCAATAAATCTTCCTTACATTTTGTTATATGTCTAAAACACCTTTTTCAGATCTCTACTGTGCATCTGTTTAGATCTCCACTTCGTTATACCAGCATTTCTTTACACGTTGCTTGATCTCTAGAAGTTTTTAATTTAACTCTTTTTATTTTCGTTGATGTCCACTCAACTTTGCAGGATCTAGATCTCTACAAATCCGTAAGAAACCCCACAGAAATCCAATGAAGAACGCATATCTTTATATCAGAGACAAGATGATACACAATTTATAACGTGCTGTACATCTGTATCAGTAGTTATCCATGATTCTCACAATTTTGACAATGTTGAGGCAGAGCAATATCTGCATTTTACCAAACAATATTCCAGTGACAAAACATAACCAACTCATGAGAGGGCTGGATATAATAACACTTAATCTATAAACAAAAATGTCTTAATATTTGGGCATGTTCCTTTAAGCTTGTGTCTTCAAATAACTTACTTAATTCCGATGTCTACTGTCCTACATACAACATACATTCAGTGTTGTTAACCGAAGATTTGCCATAAGGTACCGATATTTCTTCTGGCAGACTGACGTCGTCGAGTCATCTCAGAAGCTTAATGAGAACTGATCCAGTGATAGAGAGGGGTGCTGGTGTTATCAGTCGCTATAGAAAAGCCATGCCATGTATTCCTATAAACCTCTCTTCATCCCCACTCTACTTGTTGAGTGAGTCATCAAACACACTACCTGTCTCTAAGCTTCAAGTGTGCACTGGGCAAGTGGCTGTTCCCTCGTGGGGCAATAACTAGCTACTTCTACCAATTCAGCCACTTACACCCGTGATGTGCTAAGGGTACTAGTGCAGGAAGGCCATTATAATCAATCATCTTATGAAAGGCTCAACAACATTTCAACTTATTTTGAACATAAATCTTATTTCTCATCCTTGCACATAGAGTATGTGGCCTGAACTACGATGCATATAAGTGCAAGTAGCATTTCATAGTGTCACTGTTTACTTCTGCTGTTACTTCAGAAATCAAAGCTGCACATAATTGCATTAGGAAGCGGGCGGGAAGACTAGCGTTGGTTGGTCATGCCAAAAGCCCGGGTTGATCCCCACCCTCATCCTTTGAACTTCCTGACGTAAAGAGAAACATACTGACGCCTCTCTTGCTAGTATATCAACGAAAAGCTAGCGTTTCATTTACCGCGATTAACAGACATCTCTCATTAAAATCTGAAAATAATAGACAACACAAATGAGAATTAAGTGAACCTTGTTGATTCAGTAAAAACCGATACCCTAAACGGCCCAGTTAGAACAGACTCCCTGAAATAGCACCTTGAAAAACAGAACAGCTAGCTTCAGAGGGGAACACATCACCATTCTGGTTCAGTGAAATATCAACAGTGCTAATGATACGGCTAGAAGCAGATTGTTACAAATGAAAACAATGCCTTTCTTCACTATAATAAGAATGGTAGCAGGGGTTCCAAAGAGTTGTTGAACCCAAATTTACCAGACCATTAAATGAGATACAAAACCGGTCTCTTAATAGACATAAATATAATAAAATATTGAAGAAATCGCATTGTTATAAGGAAGTAGAAATTGTAAGGCGCACTTACTGTCGCTGTTGGAAATGGAAAAAGTGTTTATTATTGGAAAAAAAATAAAGAAACCGAAATGTTCCGGCGATGGCGTTATACCTCATCAAGCCAACTCGTCTGCAATCACTCAGTTATCCCTGCTATGCATATGAATGTAGTAATGATTACAAGCATAGACAGACAATCTGTCAAATAGGTAAAAGAAGTAATAAGACCATAACTCCAAGTAAATATACGTAAGATGTACTTTCGAGCAGATCAGAATTATGTTTGTCGTACGTCACTAGTTAACCAAGTGTTTATGTCAAACATTTGCTTTACATAGTCTGAAGAAATCTTAATTTTTATGCCTTACAACCAAGAGAAACCTATTGCCGATGACAAATATACTGTTTACATGCGATACATAGGCTTCAGTTGGAGGTTTTTAACACATATACAACAGATGCTGGTGATGCTATACGCAGCATGTTTAATTGCATAAACACACAAATACACACATACGTGCACACAGTTTCGAGTAGAATACCACACAGTGCGTTTCCTCTTTTGTCAC